TCTATGTTAATTAGTTCCCTTCCTTTGTTTCACTTCTCAGGATTGTGTCTCAGGTCTTTACCTCTCCACCCTTCCCTCAGTATTTACATATTTAAGCTCCTTTTTAAAGATTGCTAGATTCTTATGTGAGCAGCGATTATTTGCATGCTGTGCTCTCCTAATGTAAACACATGAAATTGTTCTTTCTCTATTATTATTAAAGACTGCTTCTCTCCATAAATAGGGAATTCAAGTTTTTTCCATAATACATTTTATGATTTCATGTTTGCTTTGGTGAATAGTGCGCACACAGAGTAAAACACCTACATTTAGCTACATATAACTACATACATGTACTTTAAATACTGTCATGGTTGTCCAATGCAATAAAATATTTTTTCATTGATCATATTGTAATGACATTCTTAATTTTATGTTTTATTGGCTTTGAGAGAAATAAAAAGCTATGAAATTATTTAATCTGAGTAAATAATCAGAACAATAATTGGAGGAAATAAACCATCTTTTCTAAATTATTAAAATGCATATATAGGAAGATAGGGATAGTAATGGCATACTGAGTAGAAACCAAGAAAAAGAAAAAACTTGATCCTCAACCTGCATGGAGTGCATTATATGGGACCTTCAATAGGTTGTGTAGGGAAGGGTAACATTTATAATTTATTTCAGTATAAAAATTTTGTAATAATCAGCATTTTTAACAAACTAAAATTAAATTAGTTTTTAGACTGAATTGTTTAATGGTTTCTGATATCTGTTGAGAGATACTAAGTGAGGTAGAGTTTTTTTTTAAAATAAGGTATTTGCCTTGGAAACACTGAAGAGCTGAGAGCAGACACACCTTTGTTATAAGATTGACACTAACATTTGCCTGCACTCTGCCATTGGGTCACATGTTTTGCATCATAAGCCTGACACCATTTAAATGTTTCATTTGCTGGTCTGTAAGAAAGAATGATAAGGGAAAGCATCTTTATGGTATTTATGCATCTCTCAAGTGTTTTTTTTTAAATTAATTTTACAAATAGCTCTCAAAAATGAGAGTAAAGCCCTTTTTCCACTAAAAGTAGTACTTTAACCTAGGTTTTTCATAAACATGGGTCGACCCGCAAACAATCAGCATTTGGCTCCCTTCCCACTGGCAAAAAATGCTGTGTCTAACCCCTGGCTGGCAAGCTGCCTGGCTTCTGTACCCCCACAGCTGCGTATCTGGTGAGACCCTCAATGTTCTACAAGGGGGTGGGTTAAATGCAGAGAGTCAATTTCCTTATTGTGGGACAATAAAGGGATTTACAATACACCAAAGAGAGTAAACTGGGTCAGAGAAGGCTGTCAGTAATTGGAAGGGCTGAGTGGACGCTTACTGTGGGCAGCCATCCGTATCATGTTCCGGTCATATCAGGTGAAAACAAGTCAGGAGAGCGAGTTTAGGCTGTCTTCTGGATTTATTGTCTTGTACATTTTTTTGCCCAAAAATTAGCCCTCTCATGTTTCGGAGATGTTCCTGCTTCAGCGCAGCTGATTCTGATGATTGCAGTTCAGCAAAGGTCTTTTTATCAGGACTATACTGGAAAACAGGCCGATCTCCAACATCTATAAACAAGGGTGTTGATGGCAGCAGCACAGAGAGAGCAGAACGTTAGAGATTGAACTAATGGATTCTGCAGAGTGGGAGAATAGAGATAGAATGAAGCAAAATGATGAAATGGGGGTCCCTATGTCCTCCAGAAGTCTGAACGGACCATGAATAAATAAGGTAATTATTACAAAGGTGGATAAATAAAGAAGCTAATTGAAAGAGATATAAACATTTATGTCTCACTGTATAATTTAATTTCTACCTAGATTTATTTGTTTATTTTATGTATGGGGGCAATAAATTGTATGCTTATTTAATTATTGAGCATTTATTTATTTCTGTATATATTTCAAAATATGGTAGAGCTGGTCCTCAATAGAGAGTAACTGACTGTGCTTTAGGT